ATCTTTTCTCTTACCTTGGGAAGACTACAATCTGGAAAGGTGACATGGTTTTCGACCGGATGAAAATGATATTTTTGAATTGGGTTTATTAAGAGAAAGACTAAAGTTGTAAATTACCCCTAAAGTAACCTAAAGGCTGAAAATCATTTAAAGAAGCCTAAGTCACATAGGGAGAAATTTTCCCTTGTCTTTTCTTCTTCCGAACTCAAACTTTTTCTCCTCTTTTTACTGTTTTAAGCAAAGGTGAAAGCTTTGATATCTGTCCTTCTCATTTTGGCTTTGTAGAGGTAAGAAATGTAGTTGTTGCGTGTTGTGAGTACTATAAAATTATACACAAATAATGTGCAAGTATACACAATCACTCAAGTAATAAAGTGATGAGTGAGTATCATCTCCACAGGTATTGGTGGAAATAACAAAGTTTAACCAAAGCAAAGTACTACTCTGTCTAAGTATAATTAGTGATGATATGTACCAATGGAGAATGCTACAACAATGAAAAGTATATGTTGGTGGATATGGATTGATAGTATGATGTGGCAGTAGATGAAAATGTATTGGCAAAGAGCAGATTATAATGTTGAAAATGATAGAAATGTCAAGACAATGAAAAACGGTAAAAACAATATATAAATGATAGTTTGATAATCCTCACACAATAAGCTGCCTACGGGAATGAATGGTAGAGATTGATTTAAGGATGCTAAAACTTATCTCTCAAGCAGATTTAATTTATCTAAGCTTCACTTGCTTGATGGAGTTTGCTAAATATGCTCCCGCTATCTCTAGTCAAAGGAACCTAATAGGATAGAATGCCACGATATCTCCTCTCAGTCTCAACTATGGAAACCTACGCTATTGATAAAAACTACCCCTCTTAGTCGTTGAAATCCTATATTAGCCTCTATCAAGCACTAATGGATTAGGATATAATACTATTATACTGGGTTTAAGCTTAAGAAAATACTACATCCCATTGTATATGCAGATCTTACTTGTGTTTCTCTCGAATACTACAAGCATTAATGACCAAGTTTCTCTCAAACACCTAGCCTTAATCTAAGTAATGGATACTCTCATGCCTCCTACAAACTTAGAAGATGAAGCATTCTTAAGCAAAACAAGTAAATGCAAAAGATAAATTTAAATCTACCATTAAAACAAAATCAAACATCTATAAAATCAACCCCACTAAATAAGGTTAGTTCATTGTAGGGTTCGAATCATCCATGAAATAAAACATGAAATTCATTCGTTCCAACAACCCAATATCGAATGAAAAATAACAGCAAAGGGGAAGGGATAAAAAGCCTTCAACGCACGCAGTCGGAGCTCTCATCGACCACCACAACTCGCCTTAGCTTGCTAGCTTCTCTCGGACGCCTAGCTCGCCACTCCTTGGAGCTCGTTAATAGAGGAACACCACTAAGAGAATGGATGAAAGGAAACGGTGGAGAAGATGAAGAAAATCTAGTTGGAGATGGTGAGTGTGTAACATGCTTCCTCTCTCATGTGAGGTGTATTAAGTAATAAAAAATATCCAAGCGTATTAATAGAATTTAACAATCCAAATACCCATCATACCCCTAGAGTCACTCCTTGGGTGTGAGTTTTATCCTCCCAAGTGGAAGTGGTCCCCAACAGGTGGTTATAATCATCAGACACGTTCCTTGCCAACTGTCATTTTATAAAAATATATGTTTATCTTTTTCAACACCAGAAATGCCAAGGCATTTCAATCTGCTTCAGCAACGTGTGATGTCACAGTATTCTTTCCCAGATCAACCTTTTGCTTGTTATTTCCAGCACAACATAGACATCCACACATTTCTCTCATAGAACACCTTTATAAGATAAAATATCATAACCACCATTAATGAAACTATATACAACTATATGCATCTAAAATGACCTAAATGAGATTTTAAACAAACAATAACTTAAGTGAAAAAGGCATTAAAAGTAGCCTTTTTAGGGAGTTATTAGTAACCTTTACTCCTAGCGCTCCATTTCAAACCCAATTTCTCATGTTTTGGCTATGATGATCGAGATGGAGGGGTTTAGAGAGGTTTTAGGTTTTAGAACCGTAGAGTGGTTTTAACTCATTTTAAGGTTTAAAATCATGTTTCCACCTCTCCTAAGTTATTTACTGGGTTAATGACTCATTCCATGTTGTTATAGTGAGATAATTGGGGGAGGCTCCAAGAGCAAAGAAAAGGAGAAAGTAGTGCTTGGGTGAGCTTGAGGTTGTTTCTTCGGCTCAAAACACACTTTTAACCCATCTATACTACTTGTAGCTTAATATGTGCAGTATGGTTGCTTGTATGGGTGTATGAAGCATTTGGGTTCTAGCTTGAAAATGGATACTTGATGTTATTCATGCATAATGCAAAGACCTTTTATGATCCTTTGAACCTACATAAGCTTTAAATAACGTTGGGGGCCTTAGGAGGGTCTTAGGAGATATTTAGAGTGTTACACTCGTGAAAGACATGACAATATGGGTTTGTGGTATAAGTACTATAGGAATAGTTCCAATACCGTTTGTTTATTAGGTTGAAAATCAAGGGGTTTTGTATAGAAGTATTGATACCCAATTCTTGGGGTCTCGGTACTGTTAATAGGGTATCAATACTCAAGGTTCAATAACGATACAAAGGAAAAATTTATGATTTCTAGTATACCCAAATCGTACCAATACTCGAGACAATATAGGTACCACAATGAGGTATGTATCGATACTATACGATGGAGCATCGTTACTGACATAATAATAATGGTTGTAAACCTCATTTTATCAAGGGATTCAGGTAATGGTTAGAATCAAAGGAGAGCACTAATAAAAGCTTACAAGTGAGAACTTTAACAATTGTTTGATAAAATAAGATCTATATGAGATATGATTTCATAAGACTTATACCTTGCTTGATACTTGGGAAAACATTGAGGACACCCATGTTACCACACCGGATATATCCAGTCCAATGCTTGGGCACTTAAAACTGCTAATTGGACGTTGAGCTGACGCTATATAGCCCAGTCACATCCCAAGTACTCTAGAGGAGTAGACTAGCTGGAAAAGTACCAATGCTTCGTGATCCGAACCTAGCCTAAGGTACTTGAGGTTCTGATGCTACATGACCCAGACCTCGCCCAAGATACCTTTAGTAAGCAGATAGAGGTGTGAGTCCCGTGATGCAAAGGTGACCCTAAACTATACCATATTGATGACTTTTGTTGTATGTTCTCCCAAGTTCATAACTATACTTGTGGCATACTCGCATGTTGAATGCATGTAGTATAATAGTTATTTTAGTGTGACATTAAGCTTGTAAGCTCATTGTTCGAAATATGTTTTTGTGCGCAGGTTCTTAGGTACTAGTTCGTGCAGCTCAACGCCGGGGTTGCAAATTTCCAGACTTAGACTTACCAGAGTACGTCTCGAATGTTGTAGTGGGTATGTACTATCATAGACCATGGGTATTTGAGTTGTAAATTCTGTATTTGGAACTTATGTATTTTGGAGATTTTTATTTGGGAGCTCCCCACATTTTGTAAACTTATTTTATATTTTGAGATTTTATTATGTTTTAAATTATGTTTTAAACTAAGAGAATGTATGAATTTTTAAAAAAGGGTTAGTCACATTCGGTGGTTCTGTGTAGCATCCTAATTCTCTAGTTTTTTCAGGTCGGATCGAATTAGGGTGTTACAATTGTCGAACGTTTACGAACGTAAATGAACAAACGAGCCCTTTATTCGTGTTCGTTCATTTAACTAAACGAACAAAAAATTCTTGTTCATGTTCATTCATTTAATAAATGAACAAACATAAACGAACTTCCCGCTGAATGGTTCGATGAACATTCGGTTCGTTTACAAGCATATCTTTATTCAAAGATGATTAATCAAATGTAAGTTTTGAATATAAAAACATTTTTCAAAAAACTAATTACAGTGAAATAAATAGACGTAATCATTTAAACACAACTTTCATAAGATGTGGTTATTATATACTTGAAATAAATGCTTTTTTTAAAATAATTTCTTTTGAATACTATTTTCATTTCTTTCTTCAAAGTAAACATTATTCCTATAAGGTATATATCATAAATAAGTATCAAAAGTATACGATTTTTTTATCCAAAGTATTTTTTTATCAAGATAAGTATATAATTATTTTTTTATCAAAATAAGTACTTAAAATATTTTTTAATTAAAATATGTACATAAAGTATACAATTTTTTTTATCTAAATACTTAAAGTATCCTTTATATAATATCATATTTCAATTTCTTAAAATTTAGATAAAAATAATTGAATACTTTAAATATTTAGTTAAATTAAAAAAAATAAATGCTTATTTTTTAAAAAAAATTAAATACTTAAGTAAAAAGATAATAAACGCTAAATAGTTATTTATAATATAAGAATTTCTATAAAAATGAAGTAAGTATATCACCTAGAATGAATAAAACTTATATCAGATATCTTCCGTTTTATATATTTTATCTTATAAAAATTAAATAGGTGTTAATTTAAAAATGAATTATACATAAAATTAATTCATGCACGGAAGTAAATTAGTAATTGAATGATATATTCATGTTGGAGGATTGTTATTACATAGATTGCCAAGATTAGGATATGGAAATTCTGAATCTTCTTTCTCCTCCTCTCCCTCCACGGAAACCAAATCTAACCTCAAACCGAAGAAAATAATAAACTAAACCCTAACCCTAGTTAACCCTTCAACTCCACCGGGGCTAAGTGGCGAACATTTCATTTCACCATCAAAACAAACAAAATATATTTAAAATTTGTACACATACAACAAAAAGAAAAAAATGTTTTTTTTTAATCATTCTCAACTGACCTTGCACACAGAGAGATTTTATGTTCAATCTTCTGGAACCAGAGATTCCCAAATGCCCATTTCCCAGAACATCTTCAAAATCCAAAATTTAGCTGAAATTTTCCTCCTGTGATCAATAATAAACCCAATGCTCAAAATTTAATAGCTTGAAACACTGTTGCTATGGGAACGGAAAAGAAGTGTTTTTTCACTTTCTTCTCCACAACATTTCTCCCCCTTCTCCTCCTCTTGCTTTACTCGATATCAGCTTTCAGCTCCCCTAGACCTTTCTTCTCACTCGGCCAACGCGGACCTCATTGTCCACCGGCATTTGCGTACTATATATTTGGTGGAAAAGGTGATAAAGATCGGATCTTTAGGCTACTGCTTGCTGTGTATCATCCCAGGAATCGGTATTTGTTGCAACTTGGAGCTGAGGCTTCTGATGAGGAAAGGTATAGGTTGACCCTGGCTTTGAAATCCGTACCTGCTATTAGGAGCTTTGGAAATGTGGATGTCATAGGGAAGCCTGGTCGTTTTTCTTACGTGGGTTCTACGCATATTGCTGCCACGTTGCACGCTGCTTCTGTTTTGATGAAGGTTGATTCTGGCTGGGATTGGTTTATTGCTTTGAGCGCTTTGGATTACCCCTTGGTTACTCAAGATGGTAACCCGTTTCTACGTCTTGATTTTTTTCTTTTTGGATTTATGTTGTTCTCTTTTGTATGTAGTAGTTGGAGAATTTAGTTGTTGAGAAAAGTTTCATGCTTTAGTTGAAATTACTTGAAATTTGGATTGATTTTATAAGAAATGGGATTTAAGAGTTTATGATTTAGGTGTTCTTTAAGATCAATTGGATTCTGTATAGGATTTAGGTTGCAGTATTAATAGTTGGCCTGGAAAGTGAGTTTTCTTTGAGTTGCTCTCGTGGTTAGGTTCGTTCTGCCAAAGTTTGGTAAAACATTGCAACAACTCGGCTACAAATTCGAATGTTTTACACGATTCAGGGGAAACTCTGACCAGTTTATAGTTTCATTTACATTACCATGATTCCAAGAATGTTGTGTTATTACTTCTTGTTTGATTTGCTTAAATGTAGGATTTATTGCTGAGTAAAGCGTATGGGTTCAGGCATTGTATATTTTGGGGCAGTTTTTAAATGCAGTAGCGAAACTGTTGACTTTTCAACCAGAGGATAATTGTCATAATCGGGTCATGAGAATAGATTAAATCCAAAAAGATTTAGTAAACATGCTTTATCTACTGAACATTATACATACACGGAGCTAAGGGTATGGTATCGAGAAACTGGATGCTTGAAAGTATGTAATGGGAGGATGGTTGACATCTTTTTAAGACATTATTAGTGTCTTTTTTGATTTCGATTTATGGTTCAGGAGGTTATAGTCTTAGATTTTCCTTTTTTGGTCTATATCTGCAGAGTTTTGCTAAACTTTTAGATTATTGAAACTTGAAAGGAAGGGACTTGCAAACCAAATTCCTTCCTTTTCTGTTATATCAATAGTGTCGCTTGATTATTTATGAATGGTCCAGCACTCTGAATGTTTCGATTTGGATTTGATAATGAGAACACCTTATACATTCATGATGCATCTCGTTAATTTCACCTGTTCTTTTATTACGTAATTGTATCGAACACTTTTTTTGTTTTGTCTCAGATTTGTCTCACGTGTTCTCCTTGGTTAGGCGGGACCTCAATTTCCTTAATCATACTAGTGACCTTGGGTGGAAAGGGTAGGAAAAACCCTTTTCATGAATCATATATTTCCTTCCGATGTAATTTGTAATAGAAATCTAATTCGTACTGGTCTACTTTTGATTGCAGAGGTCAACGGATCCAGCCTATTGTAGTTGATCCAGCGATTTACCTAGCTAGGAGGACTGGAATTTTTCATGCTAATGAGAAACGACCAATGCCGGATGCTTTTAAGATATTCACAGGCAAAGTTTACTATCAATATTGTTTGTCTGTTGTTGTTCGTGATATAAAAAAGTTATTATGACTGTTGTTTTCTTTGGAGATGCTTCTCATTTACATATTGGTATTGAATTCAGGTTCCCCATGGGTCATCTTAAGCAGATCCTTTCTGGAATTTTGCATTCTCGGGTGGGACAATCTACCTCGGACCCTTCTGATGTATTTCAATAACGTTATGTTATCCGAAGAAAGCTATTTCCATTCCGTCATATGCAATTCACCAGAGTTCAAGAACACTACCGTAAACAGCGATTTAAGATATATGATTTGGGACAATCCTCCAAAGATGGAACCCCACTTCCTCAACGTTTCGGATTATGATCAAATCGCTCAAAGTGGAGTGGCATTTGCAAGACAGTTTAAAAAAGACGAACCTCTGTTGGACATGGTTGACAAAAAGATCCTCAAGCGCAGCGGACGAAACCAAGTTGGCCCGGGGGCATGGTGCACCGGCCGGAATAGCTGGTGGTCGGATCCTTGCACGCAATGGGGTGATGTAAATGTCCTAAAGCCTGGACCTCAGGCGAAGAAGTTAGAAGAAACCATGACAAACCTTCTCGATGACTGGAGTTCACAGTCTAATCAATGCACGTGAAGGCAGTGTCCGAAATTGTGAACTGAAAGGTGAATATTTCGGAGACTCACTGCCATTCTTGTTGCTTCTGAGTTCCATTGATGGTTCGAAAGTATGCCATCAAATGAGATTCATTCCCAGGCATCTGTAAAACTATCTTTTGAGGGTTCCTAAATTCACAAGGTATGATTTTAAAGCAAGTGAATTGAGTTGGTAGGTTAAGGGGTTAGTATTTAATGGTGAAAAGCCACAGCAGAAGACTCTTCAATGAGGAAAGAAGGACCTCCCTTTTGAGATGCCATTTTGCATGCTGTTATTTGTATTTATCACGTAGATGTTAGAAGACAAATTCATTCATTGAAAATCCTCTTGATGTATTGCTATTATTGTTCCTTCTCTCTCACGTCATTCTGTTATGAGCTTACTAGGATTTGAGAATAAGATCAAAGAAAAGAAAAGAATTTAGAGAAGAGAGATTGTAGAAGAGAAAGATTTCATTCATTTTTCACATAATAGATTACTTCCCAACACAGCGTCTTATTTGTATACAATGTATCAAATCTTACTAGATTTAACAGCCGACAATCATTAGCTATAACTAACTGTAAAAATCCTTGTAGGTGTTGTTGGCATGAGTCGTCCATTCTTGTTGGGCTTGGCTTCAATTCTATTGTCACCCGGTCCATTTGAGTCCCTTCAAACTCACGTGCTTCTCATATGTTGCCTTTGCTTGTTCATTCCTGATTTTATGCCCAATCATCCCTAAATTCTCGTTTAAAATCCCCAACACTTTTTTCAATTTCTCCAATTCATCTTTTCATCTCTGCCATTTGTGACTATACCCCTTCCTCGAGAAGATTCTTACTCCGAAGGCTCAAAGTATGAGACCTGTGACTTAAACATAGTGTAATCAAGTGAAATTTTTCGCTCCTACGTTCGTCCACTGCACCACTAATTTAGTGACTGATTGTGCTTCTTCACCAAGCGTTTGTTGAGCACCATACCCGGGTGGATTTTTTACTGTCCTTTATGTCCAAACTCGAAGGATCCAATGAGGTAACATTTTGATCTTCAAATTTTTTCTTCAACAAGCTGATATGATTTACTTGTTGCACTCTCAAGGATTCACCTAATTGTAATTTATATGCCACTGATCCCCTGCATTGTAAAACAGTGTAGGGACCATAGAACCTTGCTGTAAGATTTAAACTCTTTCGAAGAGCAAGTGAGGTTTGGTGGTAGGACTGGAACTTCAGATAAACTCTACCCACGACCGTTAGATCTTTATGTCTTTTCTTTATTCGCATAAAACTTCAGATACTTTCTCCAGGGCAGAGGCGGGGCTAGAGGGAGCACAAGTTGTGCGCAATAGATTTATTACAATAAAAATCTCATTTTTTTGGTCTAATTTCACTTTACGAAAAATGAGCTTATCTTCATGATTTTCCTATCCCACACAATTAGGATTTGAGTTAGTAATATCACCAATCTCCTTATATATACTGCATTCAAGCTTTGCAATTTTTACTAAGGGCCTCTTTATAAGAATTTAAAGGCCTCTTTTTAAGAATTTGCACAATACCTTCAATGTCCTAGCCCCGACCTTACTCCGGGGTGTAACATTTCCTGTATTGATTGAACAGTAGACTGCCCACCCTTTTCTTTACTTATGGTTGCAACTATCAACGCTATTAATTTAAGCTCCATGACTTTTATCATGCTATAAACAACCACTCTTGAAGTACAGTTTTCATATGTGCCATTAGTTAGAATTGTACCGGGAAATTTAATCTCCATATACTCTTTGATTACTTGATCTTTGCTGCCTCTAGTATTAGCTTCCCCTCTTGTTATGACATTCCCCCTTCCTTCATATAATCATTGTCCTAAGGATCAAACATTTTATACTTTACGAATATTTGCTCCCATTCTGTTTCCTAAGAATGCCTAACATTAGATATGTGGCTATTTCGATATAAGATGTAGCAGTTCCAGTAGCACCACCAAAAAGTTTGATAACCTTTATCCCATGTTTTGTAGCAACATCAATAACCAAAAAAAAAAAAAAATCAATATCAAAACTTGACATGGAGTAATTACTATCTAACATAGAGTCTAATTTAGTATATCTCCAGAACTCTTATTCAATTCCTAGAAGTATATGTCTTACTGTTTTAGACTTCTTACATCCATTGTCTGTCAAAGATAATTTTTTTAGATTCAACACCTGTGCACTGGTGAAAAAAAAACAACAACATCAAAGCTAACCTTCTCCGAGCATAGGCAAACCACTTGATGCCAATTCTACTCGCTACCATGGAATTTAAAGCTAAACCACTTGGTTCCTTGAGATCATTATTTCCCGCATTGATTTTCAAAGTTCCAAACAAATCTCTAGAATCAAAAACTCTTGGACTTGTGAAAAAGGTAGCCAAACTCTTGCCAAGATCATACTTGGGGTCAAATTCTCACGTATGCATGATTTGTAAAAATTCATATTTGCATATAGCAATCCATTCTTTTGCAGTGAACAGAATAAATGTTGACTTACAACCTAAACTATTTATTTTAGGGGCTGTTTGGATTAAGGAATGTGGGATTCCCATGTGAATAGAATCCACATTCTCATGTTTGGTTGGCCGGGAATCTCATTCCCGGTAATGTTTTATTACCAATAGTAGATTTTTTAGGGTATATTACCGGGAATGTTATTACCTCCATTTACTTAGGTATTGTTGGATTACCGGAGTTTTGGACTAAAATGCTCTTAAATTTTTTCTCTCAAAAATATCATTCTTCTGTTATTAAGTAATAAAAATTCTACGAAGGTTAAATTACAAATTTATCTTTAAACTATTTTAGATTTACAAAAAAAAATCTATAATTAAAATTTTATATGAAATTCAGGGGTTAAAATAAAATTTTACCCTTTCATTAAACCTTTTTATATTTTTAATTTTGTAAATATATATATATAAATTTTATGAATTTAAATTTTTTAAAGAAAATATATAATAAATATTTTCTAACTTGTTAAAAAAACAAATATATAATAAGGACAATTTGGTCAAATATACATTCTAATAATCTTTTATTCCTTTAACCAAACACGGTAATCTTACATTCATGCTAAACCAACCAAACACAAAATACAACATTCTCAGTAATCCTATTCCTTGGTAATCTTACATTCCCACTGATAATCTTATATTCTGTGAACCAAACACACCCTTATTGTCACCTTCAAACTCTTAGTAAACTGAATCATACTTCATCCCATCAACAAAATTCGAAACACATAAGGATCAAATTTTTCAACATGTTTATTAACATTCCTAAACATCATTAAATAAATTTCTTTAAACACCAATGGAACTAGATAAGTCGGGTTATATGAGTTACTAACTGTTTGACATTGTATAGAATGGACCGTATTTGTCTTTGAAGGAGAATTATGTAAGTTTATAACTTTTTGGATCTCGCCATCAAAGAGTCTGAATAAGTCAACGATGAATGACTGAAATATAGCAATTTGAACCAACATAGGCAAATTTTGATTTTACCACGGATCAATTCGCTAGATCCAATCAGATTGTCGTTTTGATTTATGTACACTGTACCCAGTCTTATTAGATTTCACAGTTGTCAAACCTGAACTATAATTTTAACTATAACAATCTTTGTAGGTGCCGTTGGCATAAGTCATCCTTTTTTGTTGGGCTTGGCTTCAATTCTGTTGTCACCCGATCTATCGACAAGTATTTAAGTTTACATTGAATGCATCAAGTTTTTGGTGTAAAGTAGATGAAGAAAAGAAAAAAGAAACTACAGAGAGCTTCTTTTCCTGTATCGTAAAAAATAACATATGTACATTACAGATCAATCATATCAGATTGCCAAATAGATTAATTTATTTTTGTGTGTGTATATATATATAATATGTTTTTTAATATTATATATAATATCGTATCAAGGCGTGGCTGTTATAGACTAGGTTTCATTTCTTTAAAATTTTAGTTTAATTCGATCTATTTTGATCAATACGGTATCTGTCACTAAATATTTAAATTGATTTTTTATTTATTTATATGTTTAACTATTTAATTCTTATATATTTTATTAATTATTAAAATATAATCATTTAATTAAATTATTAAATTTAATTAACAATTTTAAGATTATACTTTCATATATATATATATATATATATATATATATATATTATATTATATGATAGATAAATATATAAAAAAACGTAAACAGGTGACTTCAGTGGTTAAAGGACTCATTGTTATCTCTGGAGGTCTCGGATTCAAGCATCATTGTCGTAACCGGTTTTCGTCCGGGCACGAATTTTTTTTTTACGAGAAAAATGATGTGAATAAAAGGTTTTTTGTTAAAAATAATTTGGGAGTCGCCATCGGCCTTTTGGGTCAGGTAAGTCGAATACCTAAAAATTATCTTTTGAAAGAGTTTTTAAGAAAACATCGATTAAAAGATAAACTGATCTGCGTTTTAACCAAAAATTCATTCTTTTTAATAATAAAAAGGGATTCGTGGTCGGTTACGTTTAGGGAAGGATTAGCACCCCTACAACGCCCAAAATTGGTACTTTTTAATTATAAATTGTCTCTATTATTAGAAATTTAAAAATTCAAAATATATTTAATTTATAATCCTATTATTTCAAAATTATAATTATGAAAAATATATATTAATTTATATATATTTATAAATAAAATATTTATTTATTTAGAAATATCAGAAAAGGACTTCTAGGTACCTTAAGACAACTCTTTTCCTCGATATTAAAAAATAAATAAATAATTAAAACAATTAATATATAATTTATAAAATAGGATATTTATTTATTTAAAAATATTAGAAAATGGACATCTAGTTGTTTTAAGACTGCCCTTTCTTAATATTGAAAAATAAATAAATATTAAAACAAGATTAAAATAAGTTAAAAGTAATTAAATAAGATTTTAATAATAAATAAATATTATAAATATATATTTATGGCTAAATAATAATAATAGTAATAATAATTAAAAGTAACATATAAATTACATATAATGAACAAAATTAAAATAATATTTAAAAAATAAAACTTATAAAATTGAATTAGTGCTAAATTATAACTAATAGAATTAAATACAAATCATAATTATTTAAATTTCAGTGGTTAAATATGTTATTCTACCTTTTATTAATTTAGTAACTAGATTAAAATTATATCAAATTCGTATATCAAATTAAAAGAAATTAAAACATGTTATTCAGGGTTTAAAATATTAATTAATAAAGTTAC